AATGCAGACGAGATATGGTCTTGTTTCATACCTTATAATAAAGAAATTTAAATATCAATACTTTACCTACCTTTTGTTTTGTTCTACATGGGTTATTCATAACTTTTGTAAAAGTTATATACTATTATAGACAGCACCTAAGTTTCAAAAAAAAAATCCTATTAAACGTTGCTCTGTATTGTGTCATCAACTAAGTCACATAAGTTGAATTTAGTTTCCATTAGAAGGTATTAAACCTTCATTTATATAAATAGCACATTTGTTTCTTTCTTTTTCATACGAATAGTTTTCTTAGAATTTATATTCTATTTTTTCTTTTAATATTATACTAATGTTTAATAATGTCTTTCACGCTTATTTTGTTTTCATTTATGGTGGAAAGTTAATTGATTTGTGACGCTATAAGTACTTAATAATAGTACTGGTGAAACAAATTAAAAAAGATATATTTTCACAAACTATTATAATACGCTGAGAAACAACATTTACTATTTTTAAATCAATTTGCTTGCACGACGAATGTAAATAATCTCAAAAGATATTGCCTATCTGATGAGTTGTGTTTTTAATTAGTACCTACCTCAATTTCATTTTTTGAAGTGGATGTATATGAAAAATATTGAAGTATTTTTTAGGCGTTAACTTAAAAATTTGTGCGAATTTCAACATATTTGACAAAAAAGATTTTTCAAACTGTTTTCACGAAAATACCACAGAAATCGCGCCAAAAAGCGTAGCACTTTTCCGAAATCAGGACGTAGCTTTGCAAATAATATATATACTATATAATATAAATAGGTTTACTCTATTTGTCTCCCTCATATCTACGATTAGAACTTTAAATTAAACAAAGACAGAATATGTGCGAACGATATAATGAACGGAAAAATGGGTAATTGATATTGTATTGCCAGCTGTCGAAAATTTCACCCATTATGATGATTGAATGAATGAGCGAGTGATGTAGATATATGTATAAAATCAATTATATATATATATATGTATATAGTGTGGATATAATAAATACAAAATTTTCTTAAATTTCTTTGAAAAAAAAAACAATCACGAAAGTAGGCTCTGTGCATATAAATCGAATCGTGTTTAAGACAAAAACATTTGTCAAAGTTCATAAAATATCAAAAAAAGAATCAATTTTACGTATTTTCAAAAGTTGTATCTCGACAACTAACGACTTCCACGCCTTGAAAAAATTTAATTAACTTTAAAAAATTAAACCACTTTAGCATCTTATGTAAAAAAAAATACAAAATGCATTTAACTAATAATGATGTTCATTTAGTAAGTCTTTTCATTATTTAGTATTGTTTAGTGTTCAAAAAATTATATCCTTAAAAGTAAAATAAGTATATTTTAACCAACACTGTTATGCGCAAATTCGAATTGCAAGAAAAAAGCTTTAACACAGATTACAATACGAATTGCGTGTAACCCACTAAATAGTCTTGTCACGACGTTATGTCAGCCGTTCGTTACTAGAAAACCTTGAGAGGTCAGTAGAATTCTTGGCACTATTCAGATATGTTTACCTAGATCTGCATACAGAAAAAAAAACAAAAGTCAGGTGTTAAAGCATACACTAGAGTGCTCATACATGATTTACGCAAGGTCGTGTATTCGACGAAGCTATTGTTACTCTAATATTTAATTTTAATAGCTTGAAATATATTTAGTTTAATAACTTTTGGCATCCATCAAGGAGTTCTGTTATCAAGTGAGCTGAACTATTTGCAAGGTTTCATTTCTGAAGTCCAATGCGCTAGTCTCTAATTGAACAATCAATAAACATAATAATAAAAACTTAGTTAAATCCGACGAAATATAGCAGTAAAATTTTAGCTCTTTCGTACGACATTTCCCGATAGTTTTGAAAGATATTTGCGTCTAACGCTTGTCTCAGACAAATTCAAATAAGGTCAAATTACCGATTTCTTTCAAATAAAAGTTATGATGCATTCGCTATTATATAACAAATGGTTATATCGTAACATTCGTAAATATCTTTCAAATGTGAAATTAAAAAATTTCTCTAGCTTTTGATATTAGATAATTAGGCCCCTGGATTGGATTACTAGATTGGTTGGGATACTTACTTTTAAAAGCTTACAAGTACTTTGCATAAAAGAAACTGCTCCGTTGCGTCTGTCTGAACGTAAGTGCAGCTTTACATAAACTATCTAAGGCAAGAAATGGTGATTATATTTTATACATTCAAGGTTCTATTTTAAGCTTCGTATGTTTTATGAACTATTTTACTACCTAAGCTGTCTGAAAGTCTGAGGACCTTGATTTCCTTTCTATTCTGCATTCGAACTTTGCAACGTCGCCCTGCACTAGTGAAAGGCTATTAGCGTTTAGTTTTTTAGGTTACTTAAGTATATTTAAGTTCAAATATCTTTATATTTATTTAAAACTATTTGACCCGGCGAACTTCGAACGTCTCGGAATTAAATAATATGTCTCATTTATTTAATAGACGCAACATGTTGGTATAAGAACAGTTTGTATGGGAAAATATAATTGTTGTTTTTACCATTGCTTCTAATTAAATCATCCTTGAACTAACATAAATATTTAAAAAGAAAATGACCAAATTGAAACTGTACTCTTAGAAGCACCTGTCCTCGAGTTTTAGGGAAACAAACAAATGTCATTTAACTTAAATATTACCTTCAGTACCTTCGGAGGCAAGGAGCATAATTTTTTTATTCACCTCTGCATCGCTGACTGAACGTTCTATTACCTACTAGGAGAGTTTTTCATAACCCCTTTTGCATAACCGATGACCGTCTAAAATATGGCATGGCTTAGTGGAAAATTAAATTTTCCAAAAACAATCAAGAGTCTTCTTGAAATTGAACTAAAATATAATATTAATTAATCTTATTATAGCTTAGTTGCAACACGTCGCGTCGCAGGGTCAGCTAGTTTACTCTATAGATTTACTTTTGTGGAAGTATTGCCTGTTATTTACAAATAAGATTTTTAAAAACCTTAAAACACTATTTAGACGTTCTTAAACAAATATTGTCGCGCAAAGCAAGTCCAAGTTTGAATACATAAATAGCCCTGACAGGACAACTGCTCGCGAATTTCGGCATGGGGTCGGACCCTCGCATTACTCCCCTACCTGCAAATGCAGTATTGATTAACGGCACTCAGTTGCACTTAAAATTGTATGTACATTTTCTTGTAACCTCAATCGTGATTCAGTAAATTGTAAACGAACTTTATATTAAAACCTCATTATTATTCGACGTTTTTTTTTAATTCTCTTCAAAAACACTAAATAAATAAAATAAAACCTCTCCAGCTTAATTTTTGGCCAGTTACATTCCACAGATAAAACAATGTAAACATTTCAGACTTCGCTTTAAATTTTATTAAAAATAAATACTATACCAAGGTTAAGAAGATCTATATTGTCATTTTAAAACAACAAAGAACGTTTAGAACTAATTAGACGCTTCCTGCCGCCAATAATGACGGTCAATTGGTTCGAAAATATTAAATGAAAAAACATGTTAGTGTACCAAACGGTATCACTATTGTTTTCTAAGACTTCCAACTAAAATAGGTACCGCCTAAAATCTAGAATAATTACAATAGGGATGACGACTAGATAAAAGAAAATTTATTTAGTCAGATAATAGAAAAATATTACGTACATATTTTTTTTAACTTCAATTTAAGAAGAAATTGCTAAGATAACATACATTAAAGTTGTAGAAAATGTACCAAAACGTGACGTCATGTGACATTTTAACTCAATGTTTGTATTACGAAAAAAAATCCGTGTTTAATATTTTCATATCTACCTGATACTACAAATAAAAATTAGTCGCCATTCCTTTATTTCCATTGATATAAAAAACATAAATCCTTACATATTTTAAAATGCGTAGATATATATAATATCAATATTTTGCCTTTGCTAAAGTTTGATCTTAAAAAATATATTCGGATAATGTATCAACATTAAAAAATAAAAATGAAGACTGAGCCGAAGTCTTAAAATGTACTTTCAAATTCATGCAAGTATTTAATCTATGATATGTTATGGGTAAGAGAAAAGAATGCTCGAATATATTTGGAACTATTTTCTTTATCACTATAGGTAGTGTCCGGCACTAAAGTAAAGCCGAATACTGTGTACATTTAAAAGTATTAAAACACTCAACTTTTATAAAAAAAATAGCTAACAAACAATCACATTTTTCCTCTTCGTAATATAAGAACTGATAGATGTTATATTACACAACTGCCTCAGGATGTAAGAAAAGACCTTTTTATTTTTTTATTTTGTCGCTTCAAATGTATTGTTTGCGTAAGCAGGTAATACGCCTCTTACATACCAAAAGAGGTCGATTCACTAAAAACTATATTTGCCAATTGTTTAAGTGTTCTTTTTTCAAATTGTTTATTTGGATATGTGTATGACCAATACTTGAACCATCTTGGTTATTACAATGTTATTACTGTACGTCTTACCTGTCGATTTCGTAACTTAAAAGTACCGAACTTTATCACAAACTCATTTGCATAACATGCTAACACGTCTCACTGTTATTTGTGATGATGCCGTTTTGGATTTTATTTGTTTAGTTGTAATGTATATGTTCTTTTTTATATTTATGTTTCCTTTATATTTATTGCTTGTAGAGTTCAATACTTTTCAATGCTTTAGAGTATAACTCTTTACTCTCTTCCTTTATTTGACAATAGCTCTAAAATACAGACGTTGATTACCTTTAGAATACGGATAGGACGAAAGATTAACTAACATTTTAACTGATTAAAAAGAAGAGGAAATCAATTCTGTGTCATTTAATTGCGATATAAAAGACACCTCTGTTTTGTATCACGTCATTGACTATGGTTTTAAAACGAATTTTAAAACTAAGCCATAAAGCCACTATTTTTAAAAAAACAAAATTGTTTAATTATTTACAGGATTATAATAGAGTTTTATCTCCTTTCAGACCTTCACAGCATGGTGCAACAGCCACTTGAGGAAGGCCGGCACCGGCATCGAGAACATCGACGAAGACTTCCGCAACGGACTGAAGCTGATGCTGCTGCTGGAGGTGATATCGGGCGAGACACTGCCCAAGCCAGACCGCGGCAAAATGCGCTTCCACAAAATTGCCAACGTCAACAAGGCACTCGACTTCATCGCCTCAAAAGGTAATGCAACCTTATCTCATTAAATAATATATATATATATATATTTCATAGATAAAAAATATAATGATGTATGGACTTCATAGCCGTCAGAGTAATTACAACTTTTTTGAAATGGTATAACCAAAAAAAAATACACTAATGCATCGTGCAAGATAATATACATCACGTATACAAAAAAGATAATCGATTTTCCAAATTCAATTACATCTATGCTGTGCATCTATGAACTTCTATAATAAACAGTTTAAATTATTAATCAATATTTATTTGTTCATTGTTATTTTCACATATCCAAGTTTTTATTTAAAGACTGCAGAAATCAAACATCAATGAAAAAATAGTCATCAATCAAAGGAATAATTTCTTAATATTACGCATAATTATATAATATTTTTACATAAACATACACTAACAGTACTACTTATAAACAAGGTTTAGCGTCAGAGTAAATTTACGCTAAAATTGTAATTTTAGTATTAGTCCATATTCATATTACACAGAGAATAAGTAAATCTATTACCTTCTAGGAGCAAATATTACTCCCTTAGAATCTCGTACTAGGCTAACCTTTGTTAAGTCTCTGTTTATTTATATGAATTTTGACAAATACGAAGAGCAATCTCAGCGTAAATCTATTCCAACGCTAAACCTGGTTTATAAGTAGCACTGTTAAAGTTTAAAAATAAAAATACCCTGTAAATTATCTTTTTAGGGTTTTGTACCCAAAGAATGAAACGGGAAATAAGACTTCTCCGTCTGTCTGTCACCAGGCTTTATCTCATGAACTGTGAAAGTTAGACAGTTGAAAATTTTATAAAACAACTTAATTATATATTTTCAGGAGTAAAATTGGTGTCTATCGGCGCCGAAGAAATCGTAGATGGCAACCTAAAGATGACCCTGGGTATGATCTGGACTATCATTCTCCGATTCGCCATCCAAGACATCTCGGTTGAAGAAATGACCGCTAAGGTATTCTTTACTATAATAAATTTTAAATTATTGCTAGTCTTGGTGTACTCACGGATCTTTTTTTATTTTAAACTAAGGCATTAGTTTGGCATAAAGAGCCAGATACAGACAGAGGATTTCTGTCCTAATAAACTTCCAAGCTTTCAATTAAAGACTTCTAGATGTCATTGCTTCTAATATATGTACTCAGTAGTTATAATTCGTTTCTGGCGTTATGTAATGACGCAGCTAAATATATAATAAGGTGGTAGCATTTATTTAGCTACCATCTTACCTGTCATTCTATCATGAAACTTATTTGATATGCAGTTCAGATCTATTTAGAAGTCTCAAGCCCTTTTCTAAAGATTGGTCGTACATCGTTGTTAACTACACCGAAGGTCATGAGTCAATTGAAATCAATTCCAGGCAGAAAATTTTAAGCGTCGACTCTAACTTTAACGTTCAACACATACCGATGTAATGGGAATCATGGATTGTGGAACTTCAGAATCGATAAATATATAGCATGACATTCATCTTTGCCACTCACCCAATGGTCGTCGCAAACTAACGCATACTTAGTTGAGACTCATGTCTTCCATCTTTCATCAGAACTACGAAGACTCTAATCAAACCTTAAAAACGTCAAGTTCAATTTATTACGTAAAATGGTAAGATGTTGCCCAAAATAGTACAAACCTGTACCTTTAAAAAGACATAAGTTGTAACGATAGCAATACATGAATAGGTAGCTCATTTTACTCTTTACCAATTAGCATTAAAAAAGAACTAGCTTAATGAAAAGATATTAAGTACCTAAGCTTATTGTAAACACTTTTAGCTGGCAGTAAGGATGGATGGTACGGACAGTGTGGTCTTTTTCCATGACGCTTGTTGTAGGCTCCATTTACTCTATACTCTTCTTCATTTCAGTTGGGCTATGTGTATCTACATTATAACTTTTTTCATCATACAGGAAGGTCTCCTTCTCTGGTGTCAACGCAAGACTGCTCCATACAAGAATGTCAACGTTCAGAACTTCCACCTGTCGTTCAAGGACGGTCTAGCGTTCTGCGCACTCATCCACAGGCACAGGCCGGATCTCATCGACTACAGCAAACTGTCCAAGGACAATCCACTGGAGAACTTGAATACGGCCTTCGATGTCGCCGAGAAGTATCTCGACATCCCCCGCATGTTGGACCCTGACGGTAAGTTGCCTAACAACTGATACTATCAGCCTGTTGATCTAATGATAGGGCTTACCTGTGGATAGGTTCACTTAGAAAGAATGAGCTAAACCCATGAGAGCTCAGTATGGATTATATTGGGTAACGAGCAACTGTAATCATGTCGATTCAGTAGTACCTACAGTGTTTTTTAACATCTTAAAATATGACGTCACTATTCGATTAGTTTTGACTGTCAAGAGATGACTCTAGTGTTCTCATTCGACTTTTCTCTCAATAAAAATATACATATTAATTAATAGTGAAGTTTTATGACTTAAATAGGAGTGATTTATTTTAATCTTATAGAGCGATGTCGTTGTACATAATGTACTCGACTATGAATTTAATTTATTACAGTTTCCGAAATAAGTGGGTACCGTCAATTGTTCAAGAATAGACAGTGTTATTCAAATTACTAATTCGAACGTAATTCATACATTAATACCTATGTTAGAAACGCAAAACATAGCATTACCATAAAATAAAATGGATATTTTTTTATTACTAAAAAACGTCATATTATCATATTTACGCTTTCTATTGATAATCAATAACGTCCGCGATCTTAAACCAAAAAAAAATTCATACTTTTGATTTATATCATAGCTCAACAATTTTTAGCTATTGGCTGTCAAAAAAGAAGCTGAACCACCACTTTGACATTGAATCTTAATTACTCTCGAACAATCGAATGCAGCTTTTTACGAGAATGACAATTTCAATAAAATATTAAAGTGACCCATTTAATATAAATCAGAAATTCAACAATCGGCAAAATGAAGGAACCAGCTAAACGATTGTTGATATGAATATTACAGACTTAATAAACACACCAAAGCCAGATGAGCGCGCCATTATGACATACGTGTCGTGTTACTACCACGCGTTCCAAGGCGCTCAACAGGTACTATCGAAGGCATAACGCCTCCGACCAGTTTGACACTTGAGCCCCTAACGCCAGTGCCTTTGTTTACCACTCATAGCATGGATTTCCGAGCTTCCGCTGGCTGGATACATAAGATTAATCTAACAAATATTACACGCATCGAACATTTTTCCTATTATTTATTTGTTTATGAATTGCATTCCGAGCGGTCTTTTTCCAAGACCTACAGTCGTACCGCTTATTTCAAAACCATAGCTATAACAATAGTAAAAGTATGTTTCTATATTGTATTTATTTATTGATCAAATAATTTTTATTTCCAAATCAAAGAACTTCAATTTAAAAGTTTAATTCATTATATTGAAATAAACCTATGACATATTCATTTTGACTATGGCTTTGAATTAGGCAAAAAAAGAAAGCCAGAAAGACTTATAACTTTCATGCTTTATCTTGTTTATGGTAAAGTAAAAAGTGTATCCAGCTACAAAATAATTTATCGACAATAACCTCATGAACCACTTTTATTAAATGTGGTGATTGTGATATTTCTTTAACACGAATCGCAGCGATTGTACCTGATATATTTTGATGTTAATAAATCGATGTTGTAACTGAAAATAATTTTTACTGTTGTTGCAGCTTTATTTTATGTTATTAATAACTATAAATATTTATATCTAATTGTTTATGTAAGTGTTGTAAAGAGTGCTTGTGTTTTTATAACTGAAAATGCTCCATTTTGTACCTACTATCGTCCATAATATATCACCCTTACCTATGTGAACACGTAACTCGGAATTTATAAAATTACCTCTGTATTTTAGATGTTGTTTTCTGTATTTTAGTCTGGATCTATTTAATTTTTAATAGGTTATTTGTTTTATTATTATAATCTTTATAAAAAACTTAAAAAGGAAAAATACGAAATATAAGGAACATCTTTTAATGGGGGCCAAAACTAAACAAAAATATTACTTATTTCATTTTTTATTTATTTCCTTTTTTTTATTTATTATTTATTTTATGCATTTAAGTGATATTTTGAGATTTGGGGTAACAAACATCATGCATACTTAATGCAAAATTAATACTTATATGGTTTTCTCATAGAATCCATTGCCAGATCTGGACCAAAATGGGACCACACGGCAAGCACTAGCTTTCGAATAAATAAATAAAAAAATGCAGTCGAATTGAGTACCTCCTTCTTTTTTTGAAGTCGGTAAAAATTATATCTTTTCGACCGTATCGCTAAATCCATTTTTGACTAAAGACTAGAATTTAAACATAACGTTTTATCCTCAATATTTCATTTAAAATAAAAAACTTGATCCTAACTACATATTGTTAAGGTTGCCATAACTTAAAAAGTTGTCTAATTCTAGCTATTTTCCTGCGACTTCGGCCGCGTAAAGAATAGCCTATGCCACCCGCGAATGCTGTAGTTTCCTTTAACTGAAAGAATTTTTAAAATAGATCCAATAGTTTCGGGGCCTATTGAATGTAAACAATCAATTCTTTCCTTTTTAATTATTATAGACTAGAGTTGCCAAACCTTCCGTCTTTCCAGGACATGTCAGGAAATGTTCATCCTGAACATCCCAGGACGTTATAGAACGCTGGTTCTAGAATAGTTTTTAAGTGGCGTCCTAGGTTTCAAAGTCTTTATTTTAAAATTAACGGCGGTTGTGCAAAGGACAAATTACTACGTGCTATTTTTAACATCCTAGTTTTCAAAGATGGGGTTGGAAACCCTAGTATAGACACAGATGAACATGTCATAAAAACACAAGTCATTCTATAATACTGTCACCGCATGATACTAACCCCGCTCGCGTGTGGCTAGATCTGCAGAACACAGCAATGCCGGACGAGAGAGCTGTGATGACGTACGTCTCCTCCTACTACCACTGCTTCTCTGGCGCGCAGAAGGTCTGTATCTGCACTAACAATCGCCTCCGTTTTTTATGCTTAATCTATGGTTATAAGAGGACGCATAAAGCCAAACACCAACAAAATTAAATCTGAATAAACTGTAATTAAAAAAAATGGTGTAACTACGTTGTCAGATTTTTTATTTTTATATTTACTAATAATTTTACTAAGTTAACTACCTTTAATATAAAAAAAGATATTAGGTAATTGTTTTCTCTTTATGATGACAATTTATGCAATGAGTCAAGTTTAGCTAATATTGTTTCAGATAAATTTATTTACCTACATTTTTTTACTCTCTACGATGATTTTCTCTAGTTTATCTCATTGACAGATCTATATTATTTTCTCGTCAGCTTTATGCGTACTCTTAATGCCTCAACTCTTCCAATATACAAATCTGTTATACATCATCTATATAATAAAGAACTCTATTCAAAAGATTGGAACGTTTGAGGTTCAGGCTACTTAATTTATAAGATCTAATATTTATGCGGCATTAGCTAGACTACGACCTTCTTTTTAATTTGTTATTTTAGAGTTTCTGTACAGTTTAAACATATCTTTATTAACTATAAGTTCTCGTGAAAAAAACAAAGTACTTTTTAATTCTACTTATTGTTTTGGAATATATATTTACATAGTAACAAATCATTAATTACCTACATATATTTCACATATATTTATTATATTTATAAAAATGCTTATTGTTATTAATGCGGCGTGCACGTCACTGCTCATTCCTTTTATAATGCATACTAAAAGGTATTCTAATCTAATTTAATATACCCACAGGCTGAAACTGCCGCGAACCGCATCTGCAAAGTTCTCAAAGTCAATCAGGAGAACGAGCGCCTTATGGAAGAATACGAACGCCTCGCCAGCGATGTAAGTAATAAATTAAGTTAAAAGATACATAAAACACATATTAGTGGTTTATTAAAATACCAAGTTATGCAGTATTGAGTCAATTCCCCTTTTCTGATATTTAATTCCCAAAGTTATTCTTTCTTCATAGACTTTATATTTCAGCATCAGTTATAAAATCGAATTACCTAAGAATGGTTTTACAAACATGATACCTACATTTATAAAATGTATAAATTGTCAGCTTTTGGACTGGATCCGTCGCACCATGCCATGGTTGAACAGCAGACAGACGGACAACTCGCTGGCGGGATGTCAGAAGAAACTGGAAGATTACCGCACGTACCGCCGCAAGCACAAGCCGCCGCGCGTCGAGCAAAAGGCCAAGCTCGAGACCAACTTCAACACGCTGCAGACCAAGCTGCGGCTCAGCAACCGACCCGCGTACATGCCCACCGAGGGCAAGATGGTCTCCGTGAGTATACCACCGCTGTTTATCAATTACCTCTTCTGGATAATGACCGGAGACACGAAATTGTGCCGCTACCTGCATCACGCTTAGAAAGTTCATTCATAACTTCATATAAATAAGACTTCCGACCTACACCGGTCCACGCGGCTCCATAACAACACCCAGGAAAAGACAGTATCTCTTATAGGTGCCATGATCAAACCTCCGGCCCTCTGAAAATGTAGAAATGTGACGTCCCATACTACTATAGTGGAAAAAAACCTCAATCTCTTCCCTGACCAAGTATTCATTAAAATTGCTCATCCTGGCTAAGCCGCTAGACACAGGGCCATAAACCACAACATGAAACCGGAGCAAATTAGCCGTTGGTTCGATGGAAATAACATCATTTTGAATGCTGCACAAATAACAAATGAAAAGCAAATAATAAAAAAGCCTTAACCAAGAAACGAGAATAGTACTTTAGTAATTCTCTGGTGTATTCAGGAATTTTTTCACATATTTTTTCGCTTTATAAGAGACACCTGCATTTATTTAGGACATCGCTGGAGCCTGGAAGGGTCTGGAAATCGCTGAAAAGGCATTCGAGGAATGGCTGCTCAGTGAGATGATGCGTCTGGAGAGGCTCGAATACCTCGCCCAGAAGTTCAAGCACAAGGCTGACATTCATGAAGACTGGACCAGAGGTATGGAAAACTGGTTTTTCTAACGGCATATTCCTTATTCTTATACAATCTTAGTCTTACTGCCAGTTTTTGAAAATACATACATACAATTTTTTTAATTGATTCACCAACATTTGATATACATTAATACATAATAAAAGAAACTTCATTTAGAATCCAAGAGAAAACCAGGACCATATCATACGCAACTAAAAATGTACTGCGCATTGGTTACTTGATTTTGTGCCTTGATATAATGCAATCAGAGTTCAAAATCAATAAAACATTTTGTACTCACCCCGCCCCATAAATCGGTGTCATGTGTTTGTACCAAGAATGAGTCGATGTGTTCTCTAGTCTACTCCATGGGTTGCGGGAAGACAGCTCATTCATTCATCCCATGAATGTTCTGTGACAGACAAAGGAATGTTGAAAAACCAATAACGTTTTTTACTTTGATAATAATATATTCATTTAGCTCTTTGATTATGATGGGGCCTGATCCAATCCTATATCTATATTTGGTTTTGATCAAACAAAGTTACCAAACGCCAATCTGAGATCATAATTTTCTGTACCTAAAGGCAAGGAAGAAATGCTCCAATCGCAGGACTTCCGCCAATGCAAGTTGAACGATATCAAGGCGTTGAAGAAGAAGCACGAGGCCTTCGAGTCCGATCTCGCCGCCCACCAGGACCGTGTCGAACAGATCGCCGCCATCGCACAGGAACTCAAGTCAGTATAACCATATTACTCTAAACTAGCAAACTCAGTGTTGATTAATTTATTTTTTATACGTCTCTTTTAAGCTTAGATAAAAATCTCTCGCTAATGGTATACGAGCAGTTTAAATATTTGGTTTTAGTTTGTATTACTTTGTGGTTTGGATCTGTGGATTTAGATTATGTTTTTATTAGATTCTTTAATATTGTTTATTATATGACGAATGTATTTTATGTGTGCTGTTGTGGTAGTTTCTTTATTTATCACTGTTTGGAGATCATACGGGTTTAAATTATGATTGTGATTAAAGGTCTAACTAAAGGTTTGTAAATATTTAAAGCGGGAATTGTTGAATTTGGGGCAATTTTTAATTAAATGATTGAGTGTTTGAAAAGTGGCGTTATTACATGGGCATTTATCGGTAGTTTTTATTTTAAAGCGGTGTAAAACATTTTTTTTTTATTTGGACACAGTTATAGCATTCTGTAGAATGTTATCCTACCGATTAGTGAAGGTCCACTTTGTAGGGAAAAGGCTTGAGCTACAGCAAATGGTATAATATAATAGGCCGATAGCAATAGGGATAATGCTGGAGTAAAAAAAAAGGACTTTGTTAACTCTGTGATTCGTATAATAGAAAATTATAAAGCATATATTTTTCAGCTTCAAGTCAACAAGAAATGATGACAATAGGCATTTAAGTTGAGGTGGAGGGGACTCCCTACGTTATAACTAGATTCCATTATGACATATGCAATTTGGTAGCGAGACATTTTTCGACATGAGTAAAAATAAAATAAAGAAATAAATAATATAGTTGTACTTATCGACATATAATATTTAATTAAAATATTATTATTTTTACCCAATTTTAAAAACGTCCAGCTATCAAATTGTACTTGTTATAACGAGATATAGTCATAAATAACTATCTAGACAATCTGTATAAGTAGACGTCATGTGTCATTTCAATTAATGTATACGCAAAAATATATTGATATTAGATGTCGCTCATTTCATAATTACTTCTGACGATATTTTAAAAAATCTTCCTATCTTTTGTTATCGCGTTCTTACAAAGTAAATGTATCTTTTTCATATTTTTAATATCTTTCATATACCTCAATATCAACACATGTTTAACATGTTTTCGAAAATTCTTGCAATAAATTAATCAACTGAATATATCTACACTTTCAATTGTCATATCGCTCACTGAATAGTACAGTGGCACAACTCAAACACCATAATTTCGAGAAACGCTCTCCGAAGTTATGAAATTTTTTTTTTTTTTTAAACATAACAGTACAATCGTTTGTATTATATTATTACTGTTAAGTTCTTTGTTTTTTCTTTAAATTCTCGAAATGCTGTGAGCGATATAACGTCACGCGGGTGTTGCGCATCTAACGGGAGTTGTAACGGATGTATGTATATTGTATGCAGCACGCTGGAGTACCACGAGGTGGGCGCGGTGAACGCGCGCTGCCAGCGCATCTGCGGGCAGTGGGACCGCCTGGGCGCGCTCACGCAGCGCCGCCGCCTCGCGCTGGACGACGCCGAGCGCGTGCTCGAGCAGATCGACCTGCTGCACCTCGAGTTCGCCAAGCGCGCCGCGCCCTTCAACAACTGGTACGTGTCTAACGTACTTGGCTTGCTTTGTTACTGTCTTATACTATGGTACGTATCTAGCAAAGCGTGCTCGAGCAGATCGACCTGCTGCACCTCGAGTTCGCCAAGCGCGCCGCGCCCTTCAACAACTGGTACCTGTCTAACGTACTTGGCTTGCTTTGTAGCTGTCCTATACTATGGTACGTATCTAGCAAAGCGTGCTCGAGCAGATCGACCTGCTGCACCTCGAGTTCGCCAAGCGCGCCGCGCCCTTCAACAACTGGTACCTGTCTAACGTACTTGGCTTGCTTTGTAGCTGTCCTATACTATGGTACGTATCTAGCAAAGCGTGCTCGAGCAGATCGACCTGCTGCACCTCGAGTTCGCCAAGCGCGCCGCGCCCTTCAACAACTGGTACCTGTCTAACGTACTTGGCTTGCTTTGTAGCTGTCCTATACTATGGTACGTATCTAGCAAAGCGTGCTCGAGCAGATCGACCTGCTGCACCTCGAGTTCGCCAAGCGCGCCGCGCCCTTCAACAACTGGTACCTATCTAACGTAATTGGCTTCATTCAGCTCGGGCTCAAATTCCGCCTCGCATGTTATAACTTGATCGAGCTCTCCTCACAATGTGTATAGTGACTTAGCAAACCCTCGTTCCTTTATAGTTATCTTAACCTATTTATCATTTGAAACCATTTTCTATCTTCCAGCAGTCCCGGGAAGGGGGGAATAATTCATTATTTTTATTTGTTAATAATTTTATGACACTCCGCCGGCCTCACGGGGCTAGGGTTAACAAATGAATAAGCCCGATTTCCGTTGGTATCCTGATATTTTGTTGCAGTTTGAAATTTTTCTCTTAAACGTACTTAACGATTTAGATAAGTCAAATAATTATCGTTTTTATACACTGCGGATCGCGGGGTATTTCGCTCACTCGTTGCACATCGCAAAGTTAGAAAACCATTTTTAGTTTGTATAACTTTTTATTAAAGAGATCTTTAAAATGCACTATATTTTATTATACTTCCTAAAAAGTCTAAGATCTCAAGACAAATCTTAAGATATGATAACCCTACTTGGGACGCTTCCAGGAACCATAGATTAAGAACCACTGCTTTATAAAAAAAAACAAGCTGTAATTTTCCTCTTTATCCCGATATTAATAGATTAAAACTGGCCCTGATTTATAGTAATGAATAGAATATTAAAATTTTGCACTAATAGTCAAAAATCCTGTAAAAAAACACTCCCACATCAAATATTCAACGTGTTAAGATGTTAAAACAACTTAAACAAAAAAAATACAAACGTTTACAGGCTGGACGGTACCCGCGAGGACTTAGTGGACATGTTCATTGTACACACCATCGAGGAGATCTCTGGCTTGATGGACGCACACTCGCGCTTCAAGGCAACCCTCGGTGAAGCCGATAAGGAGTACCAGGTTTGTTTAATTCACTTACATCACCAGTGCCAACCCTGAATCGATCGATTCAAAAATATACTCAAACGATATATTTGAATACCGTAAAATACCGCCATCTTGAACTTACCCTATATGTTGGGTTACGATAAATGTTTTTAAACACAGGGGACTGCGTTCCTTCCTAGGCGACGGTCCCCATCTATGGAGAGACCTTATGTCTCATTATAAGGGCTCTCCAACTAGAGGAGTGAAGCCAATACATGGTTGGTCTAACTGATAAAATACACTGCGAAGTATTTCGGGTGAGAAGGATTCAGGATCCGACACGGAGAAGGAATTCTGCTGCTGGACCCTTGTACCTGTACCTTCTGTGGATGGGGAAAGACATAAATAGCTGACAGCCTTGTCCCCAGAGTGAACTGTTCCGCTATACACTAGATTGATATCAGTAGGAGTAGGTCCACGATCCTCTTCCCTTACCGTCTTTGTGTAAGGAGAATACTATAGAGGCCTCCTAGAAACCCTTGCCCTTTAGCTGTCCCCTTCCTGCTGCCTCTCAATAACCTCTTCGCCAGCGGGAGAAATGGTGGAAGCAGCACGAGACAATGAGGAAAACCTCTACCCGACATTGGGAATACCGATGGATGAGGTTTAATAATATTACTTTGATTTCAGGCAATAGTGAACCTTGTACACCAAGTGGAATCCATCGTGAAGCAGCACCAGATCCCCGGCGGTCTGGAAAACCCCTACACTACTCTCACCGCCCACGTGAGTCGATATCAATATACTCAGAAATATAATCATTAATTACAACTGGAGCGTTAAATGTAATCGTACACGTCCAAAAAAGATCACATTTACTGTATGGAAGCCCCTTTAAATATTTATTTTATTCTGGTTTTTAGTTTTTATTTATTGTTGAAGCGGCAACAGAAATACATTATATGTGAAAAGTTCAACAACTTTTACGGTTCATGAGATACTGTCTGGACAGACAGCGAAGTCTTAATAGCTTACTATTAAGACTCCCGTTTTACCCTTTCCTTGAACGCTTTTCATATGATAATAATAAAAAAAATACGTAGTATTTACTCTTATTCTAAATATGTAGTTCTATTCAACAAATATCACGGTATAATCCCGCTAATTGCTAATGCGCCTGGCCACCATTTTGATGACGTAATTGCGGTCACAAATGAATACCGATAACAAAAAAACTTATTGAATTGGGTTGTGTTGAGATCGCACATTTTTATTGGTTTCTATTGTTATTGTTAAGTTTTGTCCTCACTCATTATAATAGACTTAAAACAGCAACTGCAATTATGATTTTCACAATACGAAAACATAATTTAACTAATAATAAATATATCTAATGTCTCCCAGTACATTATCCCTGTCGGTTATGTTTAAAAAAATGTCTTTTCCGTTTGACATAGAGTTATCACAAGGTCAATGTTATTTTTGTTATATTTTTTATTTACTTTCCATATCATTAATATATATAGATATTTATCTAAAAACTCAAAATAAATTAACAAACTAAAATTTGTTACATTATTTAATTATTTATAATATTTTCATCATCACCAGCCCTTTTACGTCCCCACTGCCACTCCTTATGGATGGTTAAGGAGGATGGGTCATAACCCTCCACGCTGGCCCAATGCGGATTGGAGGGTATTAACGACTCCAAATGCAGCCGGGACCAACGGCTTAACGTGCCTTCCGAAGCGCTAGCTCGAGATAATAATTTTTTGGTCACCCATCTCGTGACCGACCCTTGCGAAAGTTCCTTAACGATTACGATCGCGGGCCGCGGCGCTTATCCACTACGCCACCAAACTACTCATATAATATTTTGGGGATTAATCATAAATATATCAACAGTTAAAACATAATTTATCCCTAGCCTTTTGTGCTATCTATACTTACTTTTATTATGTGACATCACGCGGGTGTTATCTAGACAAGGTTCCAGCGCATTGAATAGTAACGTTGAATGTTGCAGGAGTTGAACCGCAAGTGGTCCGACGTGAGGCAACTGGTCCCGCAGCGGGACGGCACGCTGGCGGCGGAGCTGCGCAAGCAGCAGAACAACGAGAACCTGCGCCGCCAGTTCGCGGAGAAGGCCAACGCCGTCGGGCCCTGGATCGAGCGCCAGATGGACGCCGTCACGGCCATCGGCATGGGCCTGCAGGTACAGACGATGCTTTTGTTTGCTGATATATATTTTAATACTAGCGGACCCGACAGACTTCGTCCTGTCAAAAAGATTTGTAATGTGGCAGTTATTTGTTCCTACTTATTTTATAGTCGGGGCAAAAAATAGGAGGCATATCAAATATAAATTATTGTGTCACATGCAATATTATTATTATAATAAATAGTGATCATAGGTAACTAAACACTCTGCACAAAACACGATATACGAATTTGTTTCGTGTATTAGACAGTATCAGTTGACAAAAGCAAACTCAGTAGAATAAGTAACAGAAAATCCAAGAAAATAATACTTCCACACCGGCAAATTGACATCGACAGTTTATTTTTCTTAGTTTTTTTTTAAACTAACTAAACATCGACAGTTTGTTGTTGTTTCAATTTTCAACTTTTTTTAAATTTGATATGACTTGGAATCAAATCCTTCAGGCCGTACCAATTTTTTATGTGTGTAAAATAATAAATAATAAAACACTTTTGGTAACGCGGTTTGTGTTTGACTGATGTCATGACGTAAAAACTGATGCATTTTATGTCGCGTGCTGAAAGTAAAACAAAAGAAATAATATCGCAAAGCCGACCAAATTGAAAATCAGTACTAATGATTTACTTTAATTGAGTTTCGGAACGCGGCATTAAATCCTCCAACGATGTATTCTGTGCTCCAACGCACACACGCACACTGTATTGATATGATTGAATTTCAACTTTGTATAGCGGTAATAAAGTGCAAATTGACTCTTTGACGTTAGGAACACACCTACATTGCTTAGATAACAGTGAGTGCTTGTAATTTAATATGAACTTTATACAATAGTAATAGAGCTCAAATTGACTCAACGTTTTAGTTAGAAAACGTTTGTATGAGAAAAAGAAAATGGCTGTTTTTACGGTTTTTTCGGCATATATTCAAATTTTTCTCGCCGTAAAAACCATCCTTGAACTTCAACGAACATTTAAAAAAAAGAATTGGCCAAATTGGTCCAGGCGTTGTTGAGTTATGCGCTTACCAACACATTTTGCGATTCATTTTTATATTATAGATTTGTGTAATATGTATACGCCTATGTAAGTATATGAAGTTATGTATGTTTAATGCAAATGTATCTATTGTAATCATAAGATTATTTTACACCTCCGTACTTTTAAGATAGTTTATCTCACCATCCAAAGGTAGACAACCTGTATGATTTAGATCGGAAGCGATCTCTTCCATATCTGTTTAGTGATAAGACCGTCGATTGCGACATATAGCTTAATATTTTCTTTGTATGTTTCTATCGATCCTTACTTGGACATTAGAAAACAAGAAATATTAGTGGCCCAATTTAATGAATTCAATTGTAGCTTCAATTTGCATGGATTTTTTTATTTGATTCTTATGTAACATCATCGTCATTATCATCAGCCCTGTTACGTTCCCACTGAGGGAACTCAGGCTTTAGATCAGAGGTTCCCAAATATTTTTTTTCTCGTAGACCATTTAAAAAAATTTACTGGTTTCGGTGGACACCCTGCTGCTACATTTTTACTATATTCCCAAAATTCGTCCAAAATTTTACGCCAAAGTAGACCCCCGTTGAATCCCTCGTGGACCCCTGGGGGTCCAACTAGACCACTGAGGGAATCACTGCTTTAGATGATTAAGGAGGATGGGCCATGATCGATCCCCGCAGATTGGAGGGTATTGAAGACTGCAGATGCATCATTGACCAACGGCTTAAAGTGCCTTCTGAAGCACGCAGTAGATCGAGATAGTAATTCTTTGATCACCCATCCTGTTACCGAACCGTGCGAAATTTTCTTAACAACAAAGATCGCAAAAAGTTCATCACGTTAAGACAATCAGACGCGATAGTCAAGACAGGGGGGGGGATGAAACGCAAATTATATTTTTATACTGGATAACCCCCATGCCAACTATACCTTTGATTTATATGACGATGAGACAGTTTCATCTTCGTCACACAGAGAAACCTTTAACTTCATTTGTAACACGATCTATTACCAGAATTTATGGTAATATTCTGAACTATTTTGTAAAATATTTTAATGTTATAATATTTGTATGCATTAACTATATCTATCGCAATGTATAGAATAGATAAATCATTCAATTTGTACATTGCAGGGCTCTCTGGAAGATCAATTGCACAGACTCAAAGAGTACGAAGCCGGCGTGTACGCGTACAAACCTCATATCGAAGAACTCGAGCGCATCCACCAGGCAGTACAAGAGGGCATGATCTTCGAAAACAGGTATAAATCTATACTTACTAATATTATAAAGCTGAAGAGTTTGTTTGTTTGAACGCGCGCTAAAACTACTGGTTCGAATTGAAAATTTATTTTTGTGTTGAATAGACCATTTATCGAGGAAGGCTTTTGGTTATATTACATCACGCTGCAACTATAAGGAGCGAAGAAATAATGGAAAACGCGGACGAAGTCGCTGGCGCCCACTAGTACTTTATAAAATGAACCTTATCTGCTCTAGTGAATTCCTATCTCAACTAATGTAAGAGAATGGAACTTCAGGGGAGTTGGAAAAAAAAATAAGATGGGGCCAAAGGGAATTTAAGTATCCAAAATAAACAATACAGAAACTCCGCCACCTCCTTTGCTATTTCAATGACTCTTAACTGCTATTTTATACAATGATACAAATACAACTAATGAAACTTTGTTTCAAATAATTAATAACAGTCTACCATAGTATAGAACCACAAAACTAATCAGATCGTTCTGTTCTGTGTCAGGTACTCGCAATACACGATGGAGACGCTGCGCGTGGGCTGGGAGCAGCTGCTGACGTCCATCAACCGCACCATCAACGAGGTGGAGAACCAGATCCTCACCAGGGACTCCAAGGGCATCACGCAGGAGCAGCTCACAGAGTTCCGCGCCTCATTCAACCACTTCGACAAAAACCGCACTGGTAATTATCTACCTTTCATTACATTATGCAAAGGCATCGTCAAGAATTGCAGTAAAGGGGAGTATAGATTTGTCTACAAACTACATACTTCTTTAAAAAATGAGATATAGGTAGTTAAATATGACCGCTGTCGCGGTTTTCTTGCTCGGCTCGCTTTTGTTTTGGTCACAGTTCTAAGCTAACAGAATAATCGTTTCATTCTCTGTAATGCTGAGCGAAATAATGCAGAATTTTAATTTTTCTAAAGATACCAAAGAAATTCGTCAGCCATTCTAAATATCAATTGCAAACTCTGCCAATCGAAAAATATACAAAAAAATTTTTTTGGCCTTATTATTGAATGTTTTTCAAAAGAATATAGTTCAATTTTCTCCTCTAAAAAAAATTAGTAATATACATTAGTCGGAATATTGTTGTATAGGCCGCCTAGCACCCGAGGAGCTGAAGTCCTGCCTGGTATCGCTCGGCTACAGCATCGGCAAAGATCGGCAAGGAGAACTCGACTTCCAGCGCATCCTCGCTGTCGTCGATCCCAACAATACAGGTAACACTGGCAGATGCGACTCTTTAAAATGCGAAATTTTTGTTCTTAAATCGGGTCACAGTTCGATTTGAAAAAATCAAAAAAAGATCATTATAAAGTTCTTACAATATTTCGGAGAGAAACTTTGGAAACATTTTACAATTTTCTACCTTACGGCAGACGAAATAGGGTTGAGTAATTAAAATCAGCTCGTATAAAACTTAAACTTGTTTTTTTAAATATCTATTTAATTTATATTTAATTTATAGCATTAATACTTTTTTGTTCAGGCTTTGTTTCATTCGACGCGTTCTTGGACTTCATGACAAGGGAATCCACAGACACAGACACCGCTGAACAAGTCATCGACAGTTTCAGGATTTTAGCTGGTGACAAGGTACTGTAGACATCACATCACCAGCTTATTAATATCCCCACTGCTGGGACTCAGGCCTTCCCTATGGATGGAATAGAATAGGGAGAATGGGCTATGACCCATCACGCGGGCCAGTGCCATTGGTGGATATTTACCGCTACAGACGCATCCGGGATCAATGGCTTAACGTGGTTTCGAAACCACTGAGGAGTTGGACGTAATAAATTTTAGGTCACGCGAAATTTTTCGAAAGCTTTTTACTGCAAATCTCGTATTACGGAATGTTAAAACATTGATGTAAGTGTACTATCTTTTTACAACTAATTGCATATGCTAAAAATATAAGAAACCAATAGCAATTCGTTTGTTTAAAAGACTAAGTGACGTCACAACTTTGAGAATGTAAAAATATCAGTCCGTAAGTGTCATATTTTAATTAAATTAAATTGAATGAATATTAAATTGAATTAAATTAAATTGAATGAACGAGCATATTAATAAGGATGATGACTGGGTAAAAAAATAAATTCTATTCAGTCCGTCACTCAGATAATAGAAAAATATGGGAGGTCAACTACATTTTGTGGAACTTTATTGAACACAGCAATGCATTTACCCAGAAATGATCCTCTGGTTTTCTGAAGTCTGAAGCTTTGAACGGCAAGTTTATTTTTATTTCTCGTGTTAAGATTATGAACACTATATTTTTTGTGAAGGAATCGTAATGTTTTCTTGTGTACATAATATTCTCATAGATGTATTGAGAGGCAACAGTCAGAATGTTTATTTCTTTAAATATTCCTCGGAGAGATTCTCTAGACCGTAAATCTAAACATATATAACTCAAAGGTGACTGACTGACATAGTGATCTATCAACGCACAGCCCAAACCGCTGGACGGATCGGGCTGTTTGGCATGCAGGTAGATGTTATGACGTAGGCATCCGCTAAGAAAGGATTTTGATCAATTCTACCCCCAAGGCGATGAAAGTTTGTATGAAACTGTCAATTTTAAACCGATCGGGCTGAAACTTTACATGCATAAAGCTACTATGACGTAGGCATCTCCTAAGAAAGGATTTTGATAAATTCAATAACTAAGGGGATAAAATAGGGGATGAAACTTTATTTCAGGTACTTTACATGATATAATGAATAAATATTCGTTAGAAATGTTGCTCAAAGTAACTTTACCACCGTATTTTATTTCTCTTATCGCAACTGAGGAAATAAAACCGTTCCGGTAAAATAAACACTTGCTTAAAAAACAATTAATTAGTACATTTTGTTCGTTTACATTCACGACATAAGCGAATAATTGAGATGATAACTATCCTATCCAGCAAGTTAGACCAAAATACGGGTACATGTGAAATTTGATTGAAATCGGTTCAGTAGTTTTGGAGTTTAATGGCAACATACATCGTGACACAAATTTTATATATATATATATATATATATATTGTAATTAGTTACACAATGGTGGCAATAATAGATATCATGATTTTAACAATGTAATTTTCGTAGAAAACTCTTTACAGTGCAAATTGTGAAGTATGTAATAATGTACCCACACTATATTTTTATAAAAGTTGATGGTGAAATAATATGATGTTTGAGCGATTGCTGTCAATAAAATCAAAGGCGTTTGGCGCCGCAATATATATATATATATATAACTATACAATACGTCCCTCAGCCGTACATAACGGCGGAGGAGCTGCGCCGCGAGCTGCCGCCGGACCAGGCGGAGTACTGCGTGGCGCGCATGCCGCCCTACCGCGGGCCCGGCGCGCCGCCGCACGCGCTCGACTACATGGCCTTCTCCACCGCGCTCTACGGCGAGACCGATCTCTAGGTATACAGGTATACAACCGACCACCGACCACGTTTTATTATATTACACACGTCGGTCGCACCCATACAATATTGCGTTTTAAAACGGCCTACATTTTATTGCGGTAGCGTAACATTATAATACGACCACACAGGGCGAGAAATCAAAAATAATTATCTCCCCATCAGAGGGGCTACTCTGTTTGTCTACGAACGAAAATTACAAAAATTTCGAATCGTTCTCACAATGAAGAAGTAAGAGTATTTAAAAAAAAAAGAAAGCACTAAAAAGCACCTCTACTAGATGACGACCCTAGCAAAAGTTGATTTTTGCAGTAAACGAATTGACCAATGATATTCATTTCCATTCCTTTTAACTAACATATTAAAAAACTGAAATAGTTCGAAACTTAGATATCAATACAAATGCGAAATAATGAGTTGCTTATTGCGCTTTGAAAATTAATTTACTTTTATGCATAAAATAAAAGAAAAACCTTCAACTGCACAGTGGGATGAATACTTATTGTCGACAGTTATAATGATTTTTTTGACAATTTAAATGTTGGCTTCCTTCCAGACCTCGTTTGGACGGATGCCTGGATTCAGTCTTAATATAACTTGCACTTGAATAAAGATGACTGTTACAGGTCGTGAAATCAGACATTATCATCGGAAGTCATCCACCTGAGGAGGAGGAGAGGGGAGGGGGGGGGGACAGTGACGCACCTCGTGGCTCGACACTGCGCCGCGCCGCACATCACTCGACGAAGCGGCACAGGCTTCATGAAGACCGAACATTATTTCCTCCAAGTTGACACCAAACGCCCTAAACGGTCAACTTAAAGCAAATAATATTCGTAATATTGAATAGTTATATTAGTCTTTTAATACAGTTCTATATTAAAATACATATGTGCAATGTTCAAACCAAAAATGCCATTAACTTTCATACCGTGGAACTCTCTCCTTGATTTTTACTAGTAACCGTTTGGCTCAAATCAGAGAAACAATTTTATATGTTTACATCTCTCTATTTATACATTATTAGTGTTAGGTATTTTTAACTTTTATATGGAATTCTCAGAGAAGTCACAAAAACTTATTTGTAAGATAAAATGGTGCTAACGTTAGGTTCGACTATATGTGACACCAAATTGAGACTCATACATATTGTGAGAATGTTTTTGTTATATTTTTTTATTTATAAGTAAACATTATTTATGAAGTTCATTTTTTTTATTACTGCCATTAGTAATTATAACATGTTGATGGTAGGTACATATCATTTAAATTATGATGGTTGCAGGAAAGTGTCACAGGAATCACTCATGTCACACAGATTGCCATAGCTTGCCTGCATCTATTTATTTATCATTTTGGATATCATTTTTATATGATTTGTCGTTTTTGAGAGTACTTTGCAAGGAGTATTCAAAATAAATGATCTGCCATATTTTGTCTTTTAATAATGACTGCGTTGTTAATCCAACCAATTATATTATGATGAGATACAGTGGTACGTAGAATAAGAATGGATTATGTGCCCAAAAGTATACTAACTCGAATGTACAGCTAATTTAATAAAAGCTCTTAAACACAAATATGTTTATTCATTTAAAATACCTAACTAATTACACTCCTAAAACAAATAACAATTAAATAAAACAATGATTGAAATCCAATTAAAGGCTATTAAAAGTTCAAGATAACAAAGAATCTTTTTTTATGGCCAAAAGTGTAAAATATTTATTATTGCAGTATTAGTACATTAAATTTGATATTCAGTATCAGACTGCACTGTATTTAATTGCAAGTCTGAAACTGCAGTGTGTAACACTTATTAGCTGACCAAAAATGTGAATTGCAATGTATACTGTATTTTTGCTTTAAATGCAGCGCTGCATTAATACACTGCAGTATTGTAAATTATTAATGCAACAATTATATTAGGTGTATTTTTTAAGGTCTGCCTACCTTTAAGGCTAGACAAGGTTAGAACTAATGTTTCACAATAAATAAGATTTGAGTAGATCAATAAATAGAAAGATTCATTCACTAGCAACACATAATGTAATTTAGAATGAAAGAATTGTTCATAACTATTGTTATAACCTATTTTGATACCGCGACTTAAATATGTATTAGCATTGACACACATTATTTCTTTTCCTCTGCTTTTGGTTCCGAAGCAGTGAGCAATGCACTCTTTATTCCTACTTTCTTTAACTCCTCAACAAGCTCTCCCGATTGATGCATCTGCAGCATTATATCACAACCACCAACAAATTCTCCATTTATAAATACTTGTGGGATGGTAGGCCAATTTGAATAGTCTTTGATACCTAAAACAAATAACCACAAATTCCTTAAGTAAAAGACATGGCACTGTGACATTAAGTGTGCTTAAGTGATAAAATTTGCATATTCATTCCTTAAGACTTGAATAGTTTTAAGTAAAGATAACCAAAATGTAATCCAGATCTACTTCTTAGAATACATGTTGCAATATAAAGTAGGTCCAATACTGAAGTTACATTTTAATCGTGCACGTAACGCCTGAATATCTCATGAACCTACCTTGTCTAACATTCTCATCAGCCAGCACGTCAAGGCTTTCATAGGGAACCGCATGCATTCTCATGATTTGAACCACGGCATTGCTAAATCCACACCTGGGAGCATCTGGGACGCCTTTCATAAATACCACCACTTTGTTATTTTTCACTATTTTATCAATCTTCTCTTTAGTTGCAGCATCAGAAAAAGCCCGGAAAGTTGATCTAGAAGAATTATTATACCAGGAATACAAGTTTCTTCTCAATATACTATTCATTTTATATTATTATTGATGGAAGACAAATAATATTATATTATGATTTAAATTTTAGGCAAAACTTTTTTCTTAGTTTTGTATTTTTTGTGCTCTTTTTTCCAGTTCGCCAAAGAGTAAAAGTATATATTATGGAAGTATGTATGCCTTTCAGTCACCTCTTTTTTATTTAATTAGGGATGTCCGATACAAGTACTCACTCGATACTTTTCTTCCGATACCAAGTACTTTTGACATTAATTCTTTAGAACCGAGTAATAAGTAGTATCTTAAGTATCTATATAGGTACTTAGTCGGTCACTCACTAAGAAGTGTCAAAAAACTCCTGTGCATAAGAGTATTTACTCTGTGGTAAGTCTGTCTAAAGTCTGTCTCTAGCATAAGCATTTCTAACGCCTACTAATTTTATCTGGATAAAGATCTATCTAGAAAGGGCATTGCCAACAAAATTTTGATGCGATACCTAAATATCATTTTTATTTTACATCATTTTTTATGTCTGGACCTCTTTCTCTCTCTTCCGTAAACAGAGTACTACTATTGACTAATAATATTGTTACGGAGCGCAGCGGCGCGATATTTCGTCTACCCGTTACTAGATGACATTACGTGTGATTTGTTTCGCGCTTACAATGTCGAAACTACGTGTATTATATAGATATATGGTGTGCGTGAAAGAGCCAATCACAGGGGACGAAAGGGATGGGTAGCCGTTCTAAAACTTTTTGGTAATGCATTGAATACACCGGTTTGGCCGATGCCAACCTAGAATGTTCTAAACAAGAACATTCTAGATGTGGTAGGGGTGTATCGTCGACGCTTTTTCGATCACCAAAACGACACTGTTTATCGTTCAATGAAACTAGTCAAATAAAGTGTTTTTTTTTTGGACTACTTTATGTCGTAGACGGGCTGAATGGAATAAGAAATTGTGACGAAGAACCTCGTTTAATTGACGTAATCCATGAAACGGTTATCAGAAAAAACTCTTTAGACAACTTTGTTGTCGTCGACCCGACAACGATTCAATAAAGTGGATAGTGAAAAATGAACTTCCTACAATTCTTAAGATTCTTAAAGTTCATTGTTAAAGAACTGTTTATTTTAAAAAATCTAACCTACTAATTGAGATAGTTATTTGCCTTTATTCATCAAATTATGATAACACAATCAGAGAAACTTAATACGAAGAAAGCCAATTGCGTCATTTAACATTGACCTACGCCATCCACATTAGAACCAAAAACTGATTTGTCATTTCAATGACAAATTCAAATGTGTATTTATCCCAGAAAAGTAATGTACCAGCATCTCTATATCCTTACGTTAAAGTTTATTTTAAAAATATGTTTTGACGTAACCGAACGAGCGAAACAGATAGCACGCTAACGGTCGCGAAGCACAGAGCAATAGACGTATTCAAGCGCCTCGTGAATTGTTCAAGCAACGCTTGTAATTTGTGTTCATATAAAACCAGTTTATCAGTAGACCGTAATCTGTTGATACCCAATAATCAGTTTAAAGTATGGTTCGTTCATTCAACGCCCACACCTGAGTGTGGTATCGGCCCCTTTATATACGCAGTGGACTACGCCTATCTTGAGATTCTTTCAGTGACAAGCGAACTGAATACGAGAGCGAATACAAACGAAACTCGAAGTGATTACTAATTAAGTGAACTATTCGGTCGATATAATAGTGTTGTCAAGTAAGAGTAGTTACTTGTTTAGTGAAGTCGAAGGAGTTTGTATTTTATTATTGGTTTATTTTCGTAATATTATATTGTTAAATAAAGATTTGGATTGTGAAATAAATTGGCGTTAATTTTTATCCCTAACCGTAGCTAGATATGGTATCAAACCTTATTTTTAAATCTGTTAAATTAGGACAAGGGTAAGGTATACGATACAAACAAGTAGGTATCGATACTTTTCATTATATACCGATTAGGTATTGATACCTCATTCCGATCTAGTATCGATACTTTTACTCCTAGGCTTAAACATTATTATTCTTATTTTACTTTTAAAGGCAAATATATCGGCCCGTACTGTCTAGTCTTCTGTAATATCATATAGTTTAGTCTGGACTTGACTAAAACAGTAGTACTACTATGGTGTTTAGCGTTTTACTAAAATTTTGAATTTTAGAGTTGAAGGACTGCAGAGGTCTATAGCGAAAAGGTGGCCTATTTGTGTATTCATACATAACTCACATAGTATATCATTTCATTTACGACCCACGCTCCGTATCATTTCATTACATTACTAACATACCACAATGCTCGAGGACCTTTGTAGATTTTCTCAACAAGTGGGTCTTAAAATGAACATGGAGAAGACGAAAGTAATGTGAAACTCCCATGTCGTACCCATTCCAGTGAATGTTAGAGGCTCTACACTGGAAGCTGTCGACGAGTACGTTTACCTGGTACGTTTACCTTCTTATTTCTTGGCTGAAGTAAAACTTATAATATATTTTTTTACTGATATCAGAAATATATGCGAAGATTAAGAAAGTTAAAAAATAATACTGTATTCATGAATAGGATAAAGGTATTAAGCAACTTCTTTACTTTGGCTGAGATTAAAAAAGAAGACAATAATAAGTACCTCACGTACGTGTTTTTGATACACACTGCACGTCAGGCTACCACACTATATTAAATTTCTGTAATTGATTTTGTACTCTACGTTTAACACAATAAAGTTTAAAGCAGAGTGGGGAAATATTATAGTTTTGTTCAACCTGATATGATATAGACTGTACCTTATTTTTCTAAGATAGCACCACACACTTTCAACATCATTTAAAAGTAATAATAATGGTATTCTGCTAAATGGTATTCGATAAATTCTGTCCCAGAATCAACACTTTTTACTAATCTATGTAATTTCTTTGCATGGCTGTATTGGCTAAAATTTGCATGTTATTTAATAGACTTTAATGAGGAATTATTTAAAAAAAATAAAGAAACTACAAAAAATTATGTTACTAGATGGCAGCACAAATTGTTGGATCTAAACGTCAATTCATGACGTTAAACCAAAGAGAATAGATTTGTTAGTGTTGTTATGGATCTGATAACTTGGATTAGTATCGAGTTGAAATTTAACTAGTTCGAGTTATGCAATCGCAACTCGATTAATACAAAGTAATCTTTGAATAAATTTATTTTTTATTTGTATAGAGGAAAATGGAAACTAACATAATGGAAGTGAGCACAAAGGCTTTTTAAATTTATGGAAATCAATTGAATGCTGTGATATAATTAAAAGTGGCATCTAACTACGGTATACAATAATATTACGTTTTATAAATAAAATAGGTACTTATGTCATAGTAGGTCTAGGAATTTTCATTTTAATATTTAACAAAAGTTCTGAAAAAATAACAACTAGGTAAGTTAGTTTTATTGCTATTAGTTGTTTGTTGAACTTACAACAACAAAACTACATCAATTCTCAATATTTTTTTTATATTATGTATGGTGAATGAATGAATATGGTTTATTAATCAGCAACAAAAGTCATAAAAACAATAATTTTTAAGAAAAATCCGTTTATTATCTGTAAACTTACCCGATATGTATCAAATATACTATATATTCGTACAAAATA